GGCGTTTCGACGCCACGTTTCAGATGCAAGTCGCCGTTATTTTCGGTGGAAAGAGTGGCAGATGGATGGGCTGGAGAGTAGATGCTTTTATGTCCAGGTTGGCGGGAGAGGATTGGGGGAAGGGGGGGGTGGCGGGGGGGCGGGGGGGTGTGGGGTGGTAGGGTGTGGGGTTTGGGGGGTGGAGTTGGGGGAGTATGTTGTGGTTAGTAGGTGTTGTATGAGGGGGAGGGGGGGGGGGTGGGGGTTGGGGGGAGGGTGGTTTTGGGGGGGGGGGGGGGGGGGGGGGGGGGGGGGGGGGGTGGGGGGGGGGGGGGGGGGGGGGGTGGCGTTTTTTTTTTTTTTTTTTTTTTTTTTTGGTGTTTTCTCTAGGTGCGGTTCTCGTTTCTACGTTTGTGAACGGCCGATGATGTTGACGAAGGTGGTGGTCAGCATGTCTCAGCCTGTTGGTCGGAGTGACAAGGTCTGTCCGGCGTTTGCCTGGTTGGTTGCTGGATGGGAGGGTTCATTGGGGGTTGAGAGTGCCCGGGGGAAGGGTAGGTGCAGGCGAGAGAAGTCAGATTCGGGGCGTTTGGTGGGGTATCTGCGGCTGTTGAAACTCGGGAGAGTTGGCGATGGGAGGAATTAGGAGGGGGGGGTCGTTTGGATGAGACGGCGGCGGGGGCCGGAGGGGGAGGGAATGCAAGCAGCTCGCCGTCCGGAGGGTTCGGTGAAGGGGGGGGAGCGAGCGGGTTTGCAGGTGTGATTACTCAGGTTTTGAACTTCGGGACGGGGCGTGGCGGACGGGGGAATCTGGGTTGTGGGTTGGGTCGGGGCCTGCCTGAGCTTAGGTAGCTAGAGAGAAAATGTGCAGATGTCAATTTGTGTCAAGTGTAACAAATGGTCGATGTAGAAGAAGGCTGAGGCGAGGGGGCGAGAAGGGCATGGCATGCGGGCGTGATGTGGCAACGGGGACGGGCAGGTGCATTGCCGGCGCGCCGGGCGGTGGCTTTTTGTGACGGAGAAATCATTCGACTTGTTGGAGAGGGGGGAGGGGAAAGGAGAAGGGAAGGAAGTTGGGATGCTATTTATGGGAGCGGGTAGATGTGCCTCTGTCGGGTAGGCAAGGTAAGGCATCCGAACGTCAGATGGGACATTGGGATGAACGAGATCGTTGGGATGAGATCCCTTTCCCGATGTACGGACGCGGGGTGGGACCGTCAGAAGTTCGGACCGGGCCGAAGAGGTTGTTGATGATTGTCGGGGTTACGGAGACGGCGAGTGGGGCAAATTCGTCGGATGAGGTGGGGTGGCTGAAGGGCGAGTGGGTCAATCGCCGGTCCTGTGGTTTCGAGGCATGTGCGATGATATCCCCTTGCGTAGTAGCCAACGGTGGTGAGTGTGGGTTACACCCGGTTCATATTCACATGGCAATTCGGTTTTTTCTGGCGTTCTACAAGACCTGCCGTGTTAAAGGCTCGGGGACATTCACATGAAGCGACGTTACGAGCCTTTGAGAAGTATTCGACACCTTCATGCAGAGTGCATTGGAAATTTGCAAGGAAGAAATCATGGTAAGCGTACTTGATCAGATGGCATTGCTACCTAGATGATACACGTTGAATTTAGGGACAACGGCTATGCGAGTCTATATGATTGATGTAGGTAGGACCCTGTGCAAAGGATATTGGATAATCGGTTTTCCAAAAGTAACTTCCGCCTAGACAATTTTCAATATGTCGAAAAGGAGTCTTGTTGCTGATTCCAAATCTGGAGAATTCTGATATGAATGTTCCTCTCTTATTATCCTCAAGGTATGTGCATTCAAACATGCCCCATTTTCGATCAGTTTTTTCGTGGCAGGCAAGCTCGCCGTCAAGCTTTCTATCATCCATGCTCGTGTGATAGGTCCGCATTCTCTTCTTTTATCTATCCCAGTGGCTTTCACAAGCAATCCAAGTGTCCAACGCGTCCAGATGGTGTGGCCACCAATTCCGAGCTGAAAGTTGACATCAGCCCCCTTTTCTAGACACAGGCTAATCATGTCCAACCTGGGCGACTTCCCACCAAGTGCATCCATAAGCAATGGCCATTGCATGGGATGCTTTTCGTTCATTGTGGGAATGAGTTTGCGGCTAGGAACACGGAGGAGGCGTTTGAACAGCGGTGATTTGGGCTTGTCGAATCTGTGTCCGATCTCTCGAGATTCCCGCAACTGCCGGAAATCCCAAGGTACCAAGCATCCAAAGGATGCCTTCTCCCTGACATATTCAACCAGGCCAAGCCGCACCGTAAGCGATAAGAAGCTAGATCCTGCATCAGGATAGTCCTCCGGGTCAAGCCAATTGCGTTCCTGTAAAACGGCAAGGTAAAATTCTGCGAGCCGAGCTTTATCGTCCCCAATCATCTGCTCAGATGCCTTGCATAGAGAGTCGACTAAGGTTACCATGGTAGGAACGTTCTCTTTTCTTATTCGTGATGCCGCTTCAAGGCAACATTCAGCAAACCTTACCATCTTCTCCCCAAGATTTTTGTCGCGTCGTCTTTCATCACTGGCTCTAAGTCTGCGTTCAATCAGAACACTCTTGAAGGCCGACAGATATGCAGAACAAATGCACATTCCACAGTCCAAGTTTGACGTTGCAGCCCTGATTTTCGCCTCAATTTTTGGGCTCCGAATAAATTCTTTCACAGTTTTGTGGAGATATTGCACCGATCCGAAGCCGGCAATGCCTTCCTTGACTGACGTCGGCGATGTCACCTCAAGAAGCCCTCGACAGCGACTATTTATCCTGCGACGAAGTGTATTGACTCTTTCGCGCATTTCAGCTTGTGTATATTCGCGGATCGGAAGTCGAATGGAATGTTCAATCTCTTCGTCAGCAAAAGAGAACAGAATCGCTGGTGGTGATGTGTCCCAGGCGTCCAAGAGTCGGAAATACTGTGCTGCATGTTCAAAGTAGAAGGGGTCCAGAGATTCGAGCATAGCACTGTAGAGATTCTCCAGCTCCTGTGGTAATTGGTCAAGTCTTCTCTGCATGTCGGAGGCCCTGTCGTCGTTTCCCATGCCAGAGAGAAGCGACTTTACCACCAGACTGACCCACAGGAAGACTCCAGCAGCTTTGGTTGCTACGTTATCCTCCAGTTGACTGGCGTACCCGGGCTCTCGTATTGCTAGTCGCCTAAAACCCGCATTTTCGCGGAAGTTCTTGGCAATGAAGCTTCTGATATCCTTGTAGGTGAGGTCCTCAAGCTTCAGACTCGGTTTGTGCTGGAATGCATCTTCAAAGACAACCCAAGGGCGACTAGAGACACATATCTTGATCTTTGGGTAACGCAGAATGGCTTCGATCAAATCAATAAGCTTCTGTGACTCGCCCGAGAACTCGTCAAGCCCATCAATGAAAAGACATATGTTTCGTTCTCGCTGAGCTTCAAGTACCACAAGCGGAAGAAGTGCTTCCAGCTCAGGCTCCGTCATGCGGGGAGGCTTCTCGCCAAACAAAGACATCGCTTCCCAAGAGATAGGCGCCACATGCGGTATAATGTCTGGGCAATGCTGGAGGATCTGGAATATGAGAGACAAGTAAAGACCCTCTGGCGATGCCTCTAATTCCTTCCCGGATGCCCAAAAGTAGAAGGACGCGATGATCAAGGATCGGCCCTCAGCCCACTCCAGTAGATCGCTACGGCATCGTTCGAACTGAGATGCAGGATCTTCTTTTGCGATTCTCAAGTCATCTCCTGAGTTTGAACCACAGATGAACTTCATCAGAGTTGACTTTCCGGAACCAGCCTTCCCTGTGATCCAGTAGAGCTGATCATCGGACTTGAGCCAATCTTTGAAGTTTGACCATTTTTCTGAACCCTCTGAAGGACGCTCAAATATCCACCGGAACGTCTCCTTGTGTGCGTTGATGATTCTTGAGTGCCGATCATCCATGACTTTATAATCAAAGCTTGCTAAGAATGTATCCTGGAGTTCCTTTTCGCGATCCTGCGATATTTTGATTGATGATGGGGGGCCTAGCCTCTCGCCGTCACCCAATCTGTCTGCTGAGTCAAAACGAATTCGCTGAAGGATGCCGCGTCGTAGTTCGATGGCGCTCTTTAGACGCTCTCGAGGTTCGGTTGCGAGAGAACGGACAATAGAGGCTATGACCGCATCGCCGGGTGCATTGCACGAAGTTTCTTGGCCTTCAACGCGGGAGGTGCTTGTGAAGGTACCAGTGTTGTTCTGAATGATGTCAAGCCTCTGAAGAATGGTGGCTTGTTGCTCTTCTGACTTCGTAGCGTAATCTCTGTATTTGACGACTAATTAGCCGCGAGGCCATGTTTTGAAATAAACGAGGATCGTCTGGCATCATGCATGGAAGCACGAGCTCGCCCGATCTGGTTTTGGGCAAGGTCGAAGGAGCGTAATGATTCGTACCTCAAAGATTGAAGCAGTGAAGTGTTCAGAATCTGACTCAAAGACGCAACCTCGCCTCTCAGATCCTCAATCTTCTTCTCATTCCAGGTGGCCTTGAACGCGTTGATGACGACCGCACGCGTAGTTTTGTCGTCCTTTATGCCGATACGATCCAGAGAGTTCGCAATATCTCTAAACTTCTGGGAACATGCGTCCGAAACTTTTCTCATCTCAGCGTGTTCCGGCAATAGTTGTGCACGCTCGTTGTCGGGTCGTCCAAATCGGTCTGCGGCAGCCTGCTGGCTATTCACGAGATTGCGGAGGTCTCGCAAGTCCTTTGGAGCGCTTCCGCCGGCGCGATGAATCTGGAGGCATTTGTTCCCAAACTTTGTCGCGAATTCGACGAATTGTAGAACGTTGCCGGCGAGGGCAAAAGCTGCGACCGCTTCTGCCATGTCCCCAAAGATGCGTTTGCGGATTGTTTTTTCGAAAAGAAAAACAAGTGAGCGAAAGTACTGGTTTCGGCGAGAATGTGAGGAGGGGCCTCCATATTATCATCCATCAGCTTCGCCTCAAAATAAAAACTGTGTGGCACCAGCAGTCTCGATTGGTTGTGGCTAGGCTTACGAATTTCTTCTCATTGTCACCCTCATTTGGTTGTGGAATCGCTATTGGCGGACAGTGCATGTGGCATTTGGTCACATGCATTGCATATTGCGAATATAGAAATGCTAGCATGTAAATCTTACTCGTTGGTCCAGACACACCAACTATTTGTTGGCAGTTTTAGACGCTCAGAACATCCAAAATCCACCTCATTAGCACAGATTCTTCCGTGCTATACATGACATGGCCCTACTTACTGTTCTCCAAGATGCAGAGGTTGCTTTGAAGCACGCCCTCACCAACAAGATTGTGCTGTCCAGAGACAATGCCAAACTGATGTAGGAATGATTCAACATTTTGGCATCGTCTTCCCAACTGACTCACAATTTCAATTGCCTGAGGTGGGCAGAGACAATGGAAGAACCTCCAAGAGGGGCAGACCAAGGAGATGCACATGCAATGCGACCTCATCACGAGTTCATGACTGCTGATACGGACGCCGGCGGTGACGATGATGATGCCGATCAGTCTTTTCGAGCGGACATCAATGCCTCTTCCTCCAGTCCCGCCAGTCAGGCTGAGACCATGGGTCCGCCCCATGGCGTTCTCATTCCACTGCGAACACCGAGATGTATATCAACATTGACAACGATGGGTTTCTCCCCAATATCGACTAGAACAGATCCGACTGCGAATTGCCAAGAGCTAGAAACCAGCAGAAAATAAGTAAATGGCAGGTGAACCAGACTTAATAAATAGTCAAAGTAGTCACAATAAATAACTGAGTTGTCAAATGGCTTGACACGCATAAGGTCAGCAAGCTGTCCAAGTCTTGAATATAGTGTACACTGCAAATGTGGTTGTCATCAAAGCTGCAGCCGAACCTTCGATCCTTGACGAAACTTTGGGGGAGAATATGAGAAACAGGAAAAATCGCCGATGACGAGCCGCAGAATCTATGCCTTTCTGCCAGGTTGTCGCGTGCAGAGTGAGCTGTCACTCCAAGTTAAGCGCAGCGTTGCGTCCGATCGAATCCCTGTGAGTATCACCTTGGCGCGCACGGGACGCCTACTCTCGGCCGGCGACGCCAGGAACATCCATTTTTGGTATTGTGCCTGTGAGAGGTAAATTCAAACGTCTAGGGGCCAGTTCGTCGGTTGGAAATAGATGGATTGTGTGACATTAATGGTGGGTTGGGTGGAGATCCAGCGTCTTAGCACCAACATTAAGTTCCAGATTGTGCCTGGCCGATCCAGGGTCCCGCCGGTTACGCATGAACGACAGCGGAAGAGCAGCGATATTACCGAGTCATTGGTTATAAACAAAATGCTGGTATCTGTCAGCCAAATGCTAAGACGCGGCGAAAACGAGCCCCCTTAGTGGACCGAGATGATGACCGAACTAAGAGTTGCTAAGAAAACGCGTGTTGACAAGGTCCTTTTCTGGTGCCGGCCGGCGCGCCGGTGACCCGGAAAAGTTCACGTCGAGGTCCTCCGGGACCCACTCGACCGCCAGCGACGGCATCTCATGGTGGGACGACAGCCCCCCAAAAGCCATCTACTTGGTAAGCGACTGTATCTTAACACCCAACTGCTAAGATGTGGGAAACCTCATGACCATGGTGGAATTAGATGCTGAAAATAGTGGCTTCCTTGTCCTAATCCACTTCTAGCGTACAATCACTAAGACTTAGAATAGAGATTGTGATTTGTACTAGGCGAAGCTTTTAAGCGAAGGGCATAATGGCTCCCTGATATGACTTCACAGAGGATATAAGAAGATTGAGATCTCGTCTCATCGAGAGGGAAAATTCTAGATCATCATCCGATCTGCTGGACATCAAGCGCAAGCGCCATTTTCCCCCTTCATCTGACTTTTTGTAAAAGTCCTTCTTAATCCCTTTGCTCGCCCCTTGTCCCAGTACTTCTTGACGAAGCTTTCCACCATGACGACTAAGCAGGTTCTGTCTCTTCTTCCTCTTCTCTTCAGCGCGGGCTGGTCATCCCCGGCGCCCTTCCCTCCCAGGGGAAGTTATCCCGGCTTCCCATCTCCGGAAGGTAGCAAGCCTGGCTTCGCCCCCACCAATGCCGTCCCATCCTTCCCTCAGGAATCCGCCGTTGCCACCAAGATCAACGATGCCGCAAAACCCGCGGCCAGCAGGACTCCGAGCAAGGGCAATAGCACGAGCAGCGGCCCAACCCTCCCCGCCGGCTACGCAAAGATTATCTTCCAGGATGACTTCTCAACGCAAAAGGCCGGCGCCCTGCCCGACTCGTCAAAGTGGACCTTTGACGTCGGCACCGGCTACCCCGGCGGCGCCGCCAACTGGGGCACGCAGGAGATCCAGACCTACACAAAGGATACCAAGAACATTGCCATCTCGGAGAGCGGCACCCTGACCATCACGCCCATCAAGAGCGGCGAGTCATGGACCTCGTCACGCATCGAGACGACCGCCGCGCAGGACTTCACCTGCCCGCCAAAGGGCAAGCTGCGCATGGAAGCGAGCATCATGATCCCGGCCTCGGACCCGTCGACCCAGTCCGGCATCTGGCCCGCCTTCTGGTCCATGGGCGCCGCGTTCCGCACAAACGTGTCTTCGTGGCCCAGCGTCGGCGAGATTGACATGCTCGAGGTCTCCAACGGCGTAGGCACGGTGTTCCAGACGGCCCACTGCGGCGTCATTGGCGGTGGGCCATGCAACGAGAAGACGGGCCTCAGCTCCAGCGTCGAGTTCCCGCGCGGCCAGTTCGTCAAGATCGCGAGCGAGGTCGACCGATCCGCCGCCGGCGGGTTTGCGAGCGAGAAGCTTGTGTGGTACGTCAACGACAGGAAGACCAAGACCATTACGGGCCGGGAGGTTGGCGACGAGGCCGTGTGGAAGAACCTTGCGCAGACGCCCAAGATGATTTTGCTCAACGTCGCTGTCGGCGGCGAGTTCCCCGATGCCAAGGCTGGTACCACGACGCCCAACGCGCAGACGGTCGGCGGCAAGGACTCCCGGATGGAGGTCAAGTACGTTGCTGTTTACAGCACGTAAATTCTTTGTTTTCGTGCCATCTTTTCGGATGGGCATTTAATTCTTTCTCTTCACGACGGTCTTGCTCTGGTCCGGGGATCAGCGCTGACTGACATTTGCATGGCAACTTGGAGCGGCGTTGTCAAATTGTTTGCTAATTTTCTTGGTGTTTGTGCGCGAGTCTTGTTTTTGTATATTAGTATACTTGCGTAAATGAAATAACACTCAAACCATAACTTTGATCTCCATTTCTTCATTAGAGTGAAACAGCTTTACTTAAGGTAGACCAGCGTGGCCGGCTATCAATTCGGCCTGACCGACGATGTTTCGGTGCTAAATCCCACCCCTCAGTGAAATTTTCAGTACTACCTCTTCAATCCTTGAGTCGGTCAGACGTATTTGTGGCAGTATTCAGGGCATCTCATATTGCTGGGCATGAACATTCACTCATTGTGGAAAACAGACAAAAATTGAACAAGGAAAAAGTCTTGTTGAATTGTGCCACTGAAAAATTGGCGTAAGTCGCAGAATTACGCGGCATACTATGTACAAAGAACTTCTAATATGTACCGGAAAAGATACACGTCCCCTCTATAAACAATCGTCGATCGCTCTCACACGCAACCAGATTCTACCTAGCACTCTCTAGTACTTGGCAGAGCGGCGGGCCTTGCGGGCACGGCGGCGCTTGCAGCCGGAGGGCTTGCTGGGAGCAGGGGCGGGGGCAGCAGGGGCGCTGGGAGCAGCGGTGGGAGTGGCCGAGGCGGCGACGCTGGTGACGAGGGTAGAGGGGCCTCCGGCAGCGGGGGGCGCGGCAGCAGCCGGGGCGGAGGCAGAAGGAGCAGCAGCCGGGGCAGAGGGAGCAGCAGCCGGGGCGGAGGGAGCAGCAGCCGGGGCGGAGGGAGCGGGGGCGGGGGCAGGGGCAGAGCCGGAGGAGCCACCAGCAGCGTAGACAGCAGGACCGGGAATGACGTAGCTGCCAGATGGTTAGTCCCTGGATACCGCTTTACGGAATAAATGTGGCTGAGAGTACTTACTTGGTGATGGTGTTGTAGATGTTGATCAACACACCGGGATCAGTGGCCTTGTAGGCACCAGGGAAAGCAACACCCTCAGGCTTGGCGGTACCAGTGCCCTCAATCTTCAACTGATAGCAAGACTAAGCGTCATAGTTAGCTGGACAAGTCCACAGAAAGTTGTCAATGATGTCGACTAACCATGTAGTACTGAGCACCGTCCTCGGAGCCGGCGGCGTGGAGGGCGATAGTCTCGGCGCGGAGCAGGTAGTCACCAGGGGCGATGTCAGAGGGGATGACGACATTCTGCTTGCCGCAGCCCTCGTTGATGAGGTCGTTACCCCAGGTGTTGTTGTTGGCGAAGTAGCCCGACTCAAAGATCTTGAAGAAGGAGCTGGAGCCGTCGGCGGTGGCGGCGTCGGCGACGGAGCTCAGGTAGACCATGACGGGGCCGTGGTGGGCGCCGCCGATGGCCTCCTCGGAGCAGGCACGGGTGTTGTGCTGGTGCATCTCGACGGTGATGGTGTCGCCGGCCTTGACGCCGCAGGTGCTGGTGGCGGCGGCCGAGTTTGCGTTGCAGCGCATGTCGTTGGACGTGGGGTCCTGGACGGGGGAGTTGGAGGCCTATCGTGGCCATGTTAGTCTCGACCGAGGATATATGAATTGATGAAGCTTCTGTGTAAGTCGACTTACGGGCATGCGGACGCAGCTGGACGCCTGGTCAACACCGTTGACCCAGAGTTGCTGGAAGATGGCGTGGCCGGCAACCATGTTGGCCATGGAGGCGGTAAGGGCGAGAGCAGCGACGGACTTCATCTTGATAGTGTTTTGGTGGTTGTTTTTTTAAAAAAAAAAGGACGGTGATTCCGGGCGTTAGAAGAAAATGTGCACACAAAAGGTGAGAAGTGAGTGAAATGACGCCGGCGTCGAGCTGTAGAGAATGACTGAAAGTAAAGAGTGGACAGATGAGTGACTGGAACTGTTGAGGAGACAAAACAAAACTCTCTTTCTTCGAAACGAGCAGACCGAGATGCTATATGTATGCCTCCCAGCTTTCTCGAACCCCCCCTCCCCTCTCTTGAACCACCACATCGTTCTCGGTCTCCTTCTCCGCGCTGCCCGGCATGGTCAGGCCAGTTCAGAGCTGCCAAGCCTAAATTCTGGATAAGGGGGCCTGGGGGACCGCAATCCCGTCCCACTGGCCCACGACGCCGCCTGACCGGTTCAACTAATCAACAGGGATCCGATACCTCAAAGGGAAGCGTTTAATCTCTATTACGCAAGGGTCGTCAGGACTGTAGTGACACGCTTCCCGCCGTAAAGAAGCAGTCGAGGCCGAGCTGCTCCTGGTCACAGGTTCACCCGATCGTTCATTGAAGGAATAATCTTGAAAGGGGTTAACGTTGTGGGGATGGCCGTTGTTGTGTCTAAATTGCGGGATGCGCGCCTTGCATCTTCGGGTGCGCGGGTGACGCGCCCAGTTCGGATGGTGGCTCCACCAGGGTCAAGCAACTTTAGCCAGTTGATGCGGCTTCTATTCGGCTGTTTCTGATCTGGGACTCGGGCAAGACGGACATCCCTGGCTTCTGTCGTCCTAACTTGATCCCAAGCTTAATTTAACCCCTTGGAGGACATCGATGTCCTGGAGTTGGGTCCAGCCTAGGATTCCACCTTGAGCGGACCTCGCGGTTGGCCGTCCGAACCTGAAACACAAGCAGCATTGAGCCCCTGGCGCTACTGAGTTTGGCCAAGATAAGACCACCGGCAAACCGCTTACTGAGTTTTCAGCCCTTTCTGTCCTTTTTGCCCTTTTTATCATGTAGACTCTGGTAGGGTTAGTGATATAAGAGGATGAATGTAATCCGGAGGGGTTCTTACTCACTGTGTGTCATCGACGGAGGAGCCATATCTTGAGACAAGTCTCCCAGTAAACTTTTGTATTGGATGTTGGATAGATTAAACCTTAGCCTCGCGAGATTGACGGATCGCCAACATATACTTTGTACCCGCATGTCTCTGTGGGCCAAACCGTTTTACGCTATTGGCACAGGTCAACCCAGGTCTTGAATGATTCCGATTGGGCCCAGGAACGATCCGTGATCGTCGTCCTCCCAGTGGCGAACGAAAGCCCTGGGGCTCGATGGATTGTGTCACCCAAAGTGGTCCATTCCTGGATAAGCCCTGAAAGCTGCTGTTGCTGGCGTGCGCCAGTGCCGCTGACGGACACGTGCGTCAAGGATATAGAGGACTTTACAGATAGCCTTTGAGAAGTTGAGGGGGAGAGGAGACGCAGCAAGCTGAGTTGACTAGTACACAGCCGCTCCTGACTCAAACTGCTTGCTTCGGCAGTTCCCTTTGCGGTTACTGGTTGACTTAATTCGTTCGCCGCACTGACGCCCTTGACCAGCTCCAGCCGCATATGAACACCCATAAAGAGATAAGTTGGATCAATATTCCGTCAGCACCTAGGTTCTCAACTTCTCACTGGCTGTAATGTGGAGAGTATACGGTGGTCCCCAAGCCTCCAGGCGGGAAATCATCTCCGAGTGAAACGAGCCCAGATCTTGGGAGCCAGTTTGGGACGGATAAAAATTTTCTATTGGGGGTCCTTTGTTTTTTTTTTTGCTGCCCACACTTACACTGAAGGGGGTAAAAGGACTAGTGCAGCGCAGGTCACCGCCGACCCATTTACACATGTAATCATTTTGAAACCAGGGCCGTCACTTCTGGCGCCTGGACCTGCATGGATGATGGCGCCAGCCGCCGACGAGCTGCAACGGGGAACGGCTACGGCAAGACACAAAGTCTTGGCTATTTCTTGCCGTCCTTAAAGGAAATAAGGTCAATTATTGTGGCCATGCGTCTGGCGGCAAGTGAGATATCGTACGTCATAGGTCCAAAGTCCTAGAGTCTGAGAGCGACTTTCTGTCGTTGCGCATAATCGTGATAAGTATCTGAGATTGCTCATAAATACTCTGTAAATCAACTTCCACTCAAGTGTTTTTGGACACGCATCTGATTACTTTTCCTGGTTAACCGCACTTCAATAGTGGTAGGTTGATTGACGAAACTGGTCAAGTAAATTTGCAGTGGTCTGATTATAGGAAATGAAGCAAAAACTATTGGTGGGCGTCCTTTCATGATTGACAGGTGAAGCACCGGCACTTTTTTGCCGGTTTAAAGACGGTGTGCATCAGTCAAAAAATAAGCTTGATGCTCTGTCTGATTTAGCTCATGTTCCTGAGCTATTCCCGACGAGACACATTGGCCCACTTGGCCGAAGAAATATTCTGGAACTTGTGGATTCCTTATCAAGGTATCCGTATCCCAACTTCAACTCGTACTCGCGTCGAAGATCCGAGTATTTTTTGGCTCCTTCATTCCCAAAGTCCGATTCAAATGCTCGCAGTATGCAGGTTTTGGCCGCGAAGTGGGTTTTCTAGTCAACTGCTCGCCGCAGTGACGACGGGATTTTCAGGGTAGACCGTCAGGTGACTGCGGAACACGGTACAGGATAGATTTCATTTCTGTCCCGAGTTTGCCCTTCGTTGATGAACGATGCCTCCACGAGTTAAAACTCCTCTCTTATGGTCTGAGACCGTAGTCTTCTCGTCCAAGTCTCTCGCGTTTATCAGACACCAGTTTGCATTCGACGCACAACTCAATTGTGAACCAAAGGGTGAACCATCGGCGAGAGCAATGCTGTCGAATCGCGACGGCGCACGCCCTTGACACTTTGCTCGGCTTCAGCAAACGCAGTCGGCTTGTCGCCTACTGAGTAATTGGAATGCATGTTCATCGGGTATATACCGTGATGATCGACATTCTTTCTGCATTTTGGTGAGCTGGCCGCGCCTTATCGCTGGTCTGTGATCGTCATGACCTGAGGCAGTGGCGCAGGCGCATTCCGCATCTCAACCGCAACGCGGGTATCGTGTATGCGTCTGTCAAACATCTTGAATTCAAAGACGCCCTCGAGCTCACGTCGAATATTGGCCAGCTGCTCGTGAGCCTTGAGGATCTCATCGGGCTTGTTGTCTTGGTGAACATGAACTTTGATCAGAAACATCCATCGCTGCCCAGGATCCGCCGGCGACATGGTATCCCATGTGGCGGTTTGCGTCAGAGGTCCATTGTCGCCATTCATCTGGAGAATGTAGTGTCTAGAAAGACAAAACTCAACGTCCTCACGGAAAAACTGATAGGTTTCCTCAATGGCCTCGCTCTTGAACCTGCATATTGTCAGATCGCTATCACCAACAGCTGGTGACCAACACAAACTGGTAATTGTTGTCTTTCATGACAGACAACAAATTCCGTTGCTCCCAAATCTCAGTCTTTTTGCGCTGAGTGACCGACGAGCGAACCTGGGGAGGATCAGGGAAATCGGTCCATCGGAGGGTACCGGCGCGTGCATTGAAGTCCACTTCCGGAGCGGTCGGGCCGAAGTCCTTATCCTTGAAGACCTCATATCGGGCCTGGAGGATGTAAGATTGACGGCTCAGTTGTTGGTGCAGGTCTTTCCACAGCATAATAATGTCCTTGCGAGGGGTTTTGACGATGGAATTCTGATTCGAGATCCCGCCGGGTTTGCCTGGGCCTTTGAAATAGAGGACGCGATGGAGGCTCTGCCACGCTGGCATAGCGCAGAGACCACCCAAGACAGAGCATGCCGCCTGGATGTCGTCGTCGTCCACGAGCGTCGTGAGAAAGAGCTCGTACATATTGATTGACGAGTCGGTCAATGCGGGCGGCGAATGCGAAGAAGAATCGGGGCAATGAGACGTGATGGATTCACGAAGGCGCCTCCCGTCAAGGAGGTGAATGTGAAGGTCCCACGAAACCGCCCCACCAATACGTTCCGCGCCAGGTTAGTCACGTGCCCTCCCGTTACTGGCGCGTGGACGCCGTCGCGCTTCCAGCTTTCTCTCGGTAAAGTGGCTGTGCCCCACCAAAGCTCGCCGCTTCCCTCCCAAGCTTTGAGCTTCGGTCTCCGACATGCGAACATCGCTCTTTCAAGTCAATGGGCGAATACTGTCTCAATTGCTAAGCCGGCGCACCATCCATTTGACTTCCATCATGTCGACCTCGAGCTCGTCAGCTACGAAGCGGAAGCAAAGAGATTCGATCTCTCCCCCACCAGTCAAGCGGAAAGTCCAGAGCGGCACGACGAGTAAGCTATTCTTTTGCCCACACCACGGATCATTGCTAACTTTCGACTCTCTGTAGAGAATGCGGTTGCAAACTTCTTCAAGCCGACGTCGCAAAAGCCAAAAGACCGCACGATATGGACGGAACGCGCACCCAACGAGGATACTCCCGCCACACTGCTTGTCGGCCGTTACGAACCAGAGGAGCCCTCGACCGAAACGGAGAAGAGGAGGAAGGTCGCTGCCTTTGACCTGGTATGATAGCTTGCATGGATCCACACGGACCAAGCGATCGAAATTGACGGACAGCCGCCTAGGACTCGACGCTAATCACAACAGCTTCGGGCAAGAAACATGCCGATGCTGCCGAGGACTGGAAATGGTGGCACTCTTCTGTTCCTGGGAAGCTGCGGGACTTATACAAAAACGAGGGGTATTTCACCTGTATTCAGCCCTTGAAATTGACTGCAGCAGCTGACATTGACAGATATCGTATTGTGGTACTATCTAATCAAGCCGGCATCGTTCTACATGCCGATCCGAAAGCAAAAACGCCAAAATCAACAAAAGACCGAGTCTCAGCATTCAAACAAAAGGTCAATGCCGTACTGACACAGCTCGATATTCCGACCACCATATATGCCGCCACAGAGAAAGACATTTACAGAAAACCAAGGCTGGGGATGTGGAAGGAGCTCTGCGCAGATTACGACATTTCTGAAGATGTTGACTTGGAGGGGAGCATCTTCGTCGGCGACGCTGGTGGTCGCATCGCGGCATCGAAATTCTCCAAGGACTTCAGTTGTTCAGACCGCAACCTGGCCCACAACATTGGGGTCACATACAAGACACCGGAAGAATTCTTCCTTGACGAAAAACCTCGGGACTTTGTCCGAGAGTTCGACATTGTTCATTTCCCGTACCCAGAGGACCCCAATTCAGAGGCATCAAGTAGTCTGTTTGAGAAGAAAAACAAACAGGACATCGTTCTTTCCTGCGGCCCGCCAGGTGCTGGGAAGAGTACCTTCTTCTGGAAGTACCTCAAGCCCTTGAATTATGAACGTATCAACCAAGACACATTAAAGACGTCAGTCAATCTTAGGTTACTCGACCCTTTCTTTCAGCCACTAATGTGTTGGTAGTCGGGAAAAGTGCGTGCAAGTCGCCAAAGAGCTACTGGGTGAAGGCCAGTCAGTAGCAATAGGTCAGCCACGTAGCTAGTAGTGATTCTGCTGTGTTCAGACACTAACTCAGTCCAGACAACACGAATGCCGATCCCGACACCAGAGCCGTTTGGGTCCAGCTCGCAGCGAAACATAACGTTCCAATCAGATGTGTTTGGTTCAAGACACCCCTCCACATCTGCGAGCACAACGATGTCGTCCGATCTATGAACGAATCTGTGGGTCCGGCTTTGACCTTAATTGCACGACTACCGCTAATTTATTGCAGCTGAACCCCGAGTCGCGAACAGCACTGCCCCGGATGGCCTTCAATGGATTCAAATCCCGCTTCAAGGAACCGAAAGTGAAAGAGGGGTTCCAAGACATCACCGAAGTCGAGTTCAGCTTCCGAGGAACCAAGGATGAACATGAAATCTGGGCCAAATACTGGCTGTAATGTCTTGAATTCGTTCCAGACGGGGCGAACTATTCCCGATTGATGCAAATCTTCCAACGGCTCAGTACATGAGTCCCATGACTTTTAAAAAAGGCCCTACGAGATGGCATAGCCTCCGCATTATCCTCAAAGAACTAACGCTACGAACGTCCACAGTACATTACGCTCATGTCTGACATCAAGTCCTCTTCGCAACGATCCCGTTGGAGACAAGAAGGGGACTTCTTGTAGAGGAACTGGACAAAGCTAAGTACATGTGCCCTTGCTCTAAGCTACGGTTATTCGTATACTATTAGCGGGTTTTTATCACCATCCATATATCCCCGACATTCCAGTGGTGAGAATATCTGCTTGTCAACGGGGAACTGAACCCATGACCAGGAACAAATCTGGGAAATAAGTGCACCTCGATTGCTCTCGAATAAGACGAGGTCGCGCGGGCTCTCTCTCTCTCTCTCTCTCTCTCTCACTCTCTCGCTCTCCCTTGCAAGCGCGTTGTGGCTTCAAAATTTCGAAGTTCTACGACATGGTCGGCTTCGTAGTTCAACTCCGGTGCCGTGCCCGGCAACACGGCCGCACTGATGAGCTGCGTGTTAGGGATCGGGAATGGGAAACACTGCCGGGAGATGTAGCGGAGTAGATTAGATTAGGGATGGACTCCTAATAAAGAGATCAATGATATTGAGCACGGTTTAAATCATCACCCAGCTCAATATTGATGTCACCCGTCCCGCCGTCTAGCTTGAATGGCTAAGCCTCAATCTCTCTTAAGCAATTGTGTCTTTGAAGCCCCCATGCCTTTCTCCAACGTTCAAAATGGACTCGCTTCGGCCACGATAGGTGAGCAAATCTCTTCAGTGGGCAGACTCTAGCCAGCGTCTATATGAAGCAATCTTTGCCCACTCGGTATCACCAGATCGACGAGGCACTTTCACCTTATATACCCAGCTCAAAGGAGCCTCAACTGGCCAAAGTAGTCTTCGAACTTGTCTCTGTAGACCCAAAGAATTACAAAGATGCGCCGACCGAGGAAATAAGACGCGTCCGGACACAATACAGAGGCGCGCCAGTCTTGCACAACGAGCCCCTCGACATCTCAGACGTTGAGTCGGCCCGCACAGGTACGACCGTGGCGATGAACGCCCTCCAGGAACGGTAGGGCGAGCGCGTCGCGTTCTTGACAACCAAAGAATTCCGGGAATTGCTCGTCATCGGTACCCAAGCCTGGCCGCACGTCTTCAACTTGAGTATCCGCAAGCTGCAGAACCTTTATGAGACGGTTGTTGAAGTTGATGGGCGGGTGACGATGGAGGACTTGGAGAATCCGAAGACTCAGTCCATCGATGTTAAAAGCGACCCAGAGCTAGCTCGTGGAAGGTTTGGCGGGTGAGCCTGTTCAAATTTTCCAGAAGCCGGATTAGGAAGCCGTGGCAAGTCAACTGAGTAATCTAAAAGCTGAAAGATTCATGAATCTTGCCATTTGCTTCATACGCTCCTATCTCTAGCCCAATCACGAGAACGAGTTGGCGCAATTGGCGAGATCCATGGGTTTCAGTGTTTCCGTGTCTTCTGAGCTGTGACCTACGGTAAGATCGGCCGCCTGCATATCGCAGAATCATCCAAGGCTCATATCTGTATAGATCAAAATGACATCCGGAGGAGACGGCCGAGGGCACGCTCCAGACGCCGCAGTTGGATATTAATACTGTTGCGGCAGGTGGCGGCGCGACCTCGGACTAGAATAATATCTTGTTTGCGTTTGGACCGGTCGTATTTATCACATCCTACCAGCAGCTCTGTGGTGATAGTGACTGATTTACAACCTATATAGTCTGCTGGCGCCCACCCTGGATCTATTTGCTACCGCAAGGGATTTCTACCGCAAGGGCAGGCCCCTGACACTTACCGACGCAAATCTCTCTAGGCCGTTTCCGCCCAGGATATTGCCCTTCGATTTTCGGACCGAAGGAGACCGAGCTATTCCTAAACCTGGCGATATAAGGGTACTAACAGCTCGCTGATGATCCGGAAGCCCGAGGGTTTGTGGGGCTTTATTCGCCAATTTGTTGAACACCACAAAGAGGAGTTTGGTCTCGTCCTGGACTGCGTTATTCTGGTGGAGTATATCCGCTTCCGCGCCCTGGGGAAGACGCCCGACTCGGACCGCAACGGTGCTTCCCCATCACCTTCTTCTCGACAGGGAAGAAGTTTCACAAAGCTCTGCTGATTCAACAGCCAGAGTTCAAGCAAAGACCAACGAGGTTGACCAGATTCAACAATCAGTGTTTGGTCACCAATGCGTGAGCACAGCGGGGCAGATGGGCAGATCACTGCAAATGACATCGGTCTCGGTCAACAGCCAGGACTGGACTACTCATGCGCCATGTTCTCGTCATCAGACGGCCAGGTGGCCAACACGCTGCACTTTCAGTGAGACCTGGGCGCCATGAGCTACGCGGCGGCCTATCAAGCCGATCGCTGGCGTCACTCCCTTCGCCTCGGAGATGTTCTCGTTTCCAACCACCCTGTCGCCAGCGGATGCCATCTTCCCAACATGACGGTGATCTCGCCAGTCATTGACGAAGACACCCAGCAAGTCCTCTTTTGGACGGCTTCTCGGGCTCATCATGCCGACATTTCTGCCGCTTCCATGTCGCCGCATTCAGAGGAGATCTGGCAAGAGGGCGCTTCCTTCTTGTCCTTCACGCTAGTCGACGGGGGCAGATCCAACGAGGAAGACCTTGCGGGGATCATGTTCAAGAAGCCAGCGTCTTATCCAAGGTTATCGGACACGAGGATATGGAATATAACGTGGGCAATCTGAAGGCGCAGATTGCAGCTAACCAGAGGGGCATCAGACTCGTCCAAGACTCGATCAAGGAGTACGGTCTGCTGACGGTTCAAGTTAGCGCTGTCTGTGCCAGGGAGTTAGTTGCGCAGAAAAAAGCGAATCGCTGACGGGGACCGTCAGAAATACATGCTCGGAATCCAGGACAATGCCGAGAAGGCAGTTTGAAGCCTCCTCCGTTAGGTCCATGATCCGTTTGTAGGCCTACCTCTCCAGGCCGAGGACCAAATGAACGACGGCTCGAAGCTCAAGTTCAAAATCTGCGTCGACCGCAACAAAGATTCTGCGGTCTTTGACTTGACAGGGACCAGTCGAGAGACGTATGGTAATCTCAATGCGCCGCGGGCCATCACCTTCAGCACCATCATCTACGTATCGCGTTCGCTGGTCAAGGAGGACACTCCATTGAATCAGGGTTGCCTGGCACCGATCAATGTCATCATACTCCCGAAACTATGGGCTTCTCCTTCGCTGGGTGCTGCTACTATCGGCGGGAATGTCGAAATGTCGCAGGGGGTTACGGACGTGCTGTTGAGGGCGTTCCAAGCCGCGGCGGCCAGTCAGGGAAAATGCAGCAACTTGACGTTTGAGTACGAAGATGAGATGGTCGACGGGCAGGCGAAGCCAGGGTTTGGGTACTATGAGGTGGGTCGACGCTTGTCTTGTATGCTGTTAGTCCTCGTGTGCTGACTTTCCATCGAAACTAGACCATCGCAGGCGGCGTCGGTGCAGGACCAAGCTGAGATTGGCAATCGGGTGTCCACGTCCACATGACTAACACCAGAACCACCGATCTGGAGTCTTTTAAGGCATCGGTTCCTGTGCATCCTCCGCGAGTTCGGCATCTGGCGAGGATTGGGCGGGCGAGGCAATTATGCTGGCGGCGACGGGTGCGTTCGAGACATGGAGTTCCGCCGGGATTTACACGTCAATATGCCGAGTGAGAGGCGGACGATGTCTGCCTATGGTCTAGCTGGAGGTGAGCCTGGAGCTCTCAGGGAGAATATCTGGGTCCGGCATGACGAGTACGGGACGCGGGAGATCAAACTTGGCGGGAAGAATCGCAGCGAGATGAAGAAGGGAACTCGGATCATCATCAATGAATTTCGCTAGTCGATAATTGTGCGCCGGTTTGCTGACAACTTGGTGGTGACAGGAAGTCCAGGTGGCGGCGCATACGGTGCCTTGTGAGGTTGGCGTCGTTAGGGACGATATGCTGGTATTTCCAGGGTAGGCCGGTAGATGGATGCCGTGCGTCCTTATTACGGCGGCGCCTGATGAGGACGAGGGAAGCTGTTTAATAGAAAGAGTGAGCGAGCACAGCAGTCTTGGAAATTTTGGAGACTTGCCGGGATGTTGGATCAGACTTGGCTCAAAGTTGACGAGTAATTTGTAAATGATCAAGGACCCCAGCTTGGCCTTGGTTGCCGTGTGCCGCGATGCCGTGGTGGTGTCGTAGTGCCGTGGTGCCGTACTTCCGTCCGCGCGCGGTGCCGTGATAGCCGTTGACGAACATTCTTAACATTAGAGTTCCACGCCATTTTGCCGAGGAAACAAATTCCCCCCGCCATGTTTGGGACCAGTGGAGGCCGCTTGCGATGACCTGCATTTGACATGACAGATCCGATCTAACAGATCGACGTTTTTTTCTTTTAAGGTTGAGTTCGTCCCGGACGGCTGCTTTTCGTGATGCAGGCGGTGCCCCACTCTTTAACTTCATTTTATTAAGACATCATCGTATCGACACGTCGCAACAACCCCCCGCTGCTTATTCTTCTCTCGCCGATTTATTCGTGGTACAGTTGAAGCTGTACGATTGCTTGCAGAGAGAAGCGGAGGTCACTGGATTGATTGTTTACTCATGCGCTTGTAAAGCGTGCAGCGACGATGTTCTCGAAGAATGAAGAAAAAGATGAATAACACAGAGGTTGTGGAAATGAAAGGTAGGGCAGATTAAGTGATGATCTCACGTGCACTTTAACAGCTCCCATCGCCTGTGATTAGAGATTACCTGAGGTAAATAAGTACGTACCTATTCTCCTTGGAACCCTGATGGAAAGTCACGTTGTGTCACTCAGGGGGGCAGGCGTGACAGCCACCGTGGGCACTTTCCGCCCGTCCCTTCCCAAGATCCAAGACTGTCACGCAACGACTCAGACCGACAGACATTTTCAAGTCTCATTGAGTTTGCACACTGCCTCGGCCATGAGCAACTGATCTTCACACGATTGGGATGTCCAATTATTTGATTCAAGTCATGAGGATTATATTGTAGGTACATGCTCCCCATGTCTATATATACAGGGAATGGCCAAGGGGCCAAGTGATGGGCATCAGCTTACACACCACAGAAAAGAAAAAAGGAGTTTGTGGTTTGTTCCTTCCTACGTTCTTCAACCAAGAACGAAGTTCACTCGCAGTTTCTCAGAGACGGAGTGCGGCAGGAGCGTCACCATCGCCATCACAGCAAGCTGTGTCGGCGATCGAGACCAGACCTCAAGAACATCAATGGCGCGAGCGAGCCATTTAGCAGGCCTTGAGGGTGGAGTACTTGCAGGCGGTGGAAGAGCCGGTTCCTTTTTTTGTCTTGTTAGCGAGCTGTTCCATCTCAAAAAATGAAGCTATCATGACTTACTGGTCTTCTTGGGCTCGTGGCCGGGGGTGGTGCCCTGGAACTCGGTGCAGATCTCCTTGACGGAGGTGGCGCAGGTGCCGGTGATGGTGGAGGTGTCACCCTTGTTGGAGTTGATGCCGGTGAGCATCTTGCCGTTGTAGGCCTTGACGTTCTTGACAACGACGGTGCGCTTGCCCATGGTCTTGCAGTTACCGCAGGAGCGGTAGAGCTTGCCAAAGTCGACGACGGTGAAGCCGTCAATGGTGACGGTGCCGAGACCGTTGTGCTGGATGACCTTGTCCTCGGCGCCGCGGGCACCACCGCCAATGATGGAGGCGTTGCCGTCACCCTTGAGGGTGAGAGCGTCCTCGCAGACGGCCGTCCACCAGACGTTGTTGATGGTGCAGGAGCCCATGCAGTGGACACCCTCGATCTGGTCGGCACCGATGATGACGTTCTTGAGGGTGGCGCCGTTCTCGAGGAGGAAGACGGCGTCCTTGTTGCCACCCTCGGCCTGGCCAGTGCACTTGACGCCACGGCCGTAGGTCTTCATGCCACCATCAAAGGTGCCCTTGACGGACTGAGCGGCCTTGTAGGTGACGCTGCCCTTGGAGGCGGGGATGGGGAAGGAGGCGCGCTTCTCGATGGCGCCAAAGTTGTTGGGGGAGGACTCGGCGCCGGGGGCGGCGATGACGGCGGAGGCCGAGAGGGCAGCGAGGACAGCGGAGAACTTCATTTTGAATGTGGTGGTTGGTTTTTTAAGAAAACACGTAAAGTTGGAATGAGTTGGAAGTGTTTGACAACGAATGAATAACCACCAGGGTTAAAGAATGTGAGTAGTTGGATTGGTAAAGAGAGACTGTAGCGGAAGATGCTGATGAAAGTGATGAGGAATAAGAGAAGAGAAGGCGTGATAGACGGGACACTGGCAACCTTCTTATATCTTTTGATTCTGGGCAGAATTTAGCAAATGTCCGCTCTCCTTGACTACAGTGTAAACATGCTTTCCCCTTCCCGCAGGAGTCATCCTGATCCTGCATCTCATTCATGCTGCCAAGACCTTTGATAGTGGGACTTGGCAGTCCAGCAGCTCACAGTGACACGGATACACAAGCTTTTGCTCAGGGTTGGGGGTGAACTGAGGCGAGTCTCCAAAAGTTCACTGCCCGCAGTCTGGCCCACGATGGATACACGGGACTTTTTTGCGAGTGGCTAGTCTGTCTCTGGTCCCTGGACGAACCACACACACACACGCACACATACACACACCCCCGACCGAACTCACGGGATGGAAGGACACGGCCTTTGCCTCTGCCTGAATCGAACAAGGACGGGGAATCAACTCGATTCATTTCGGGTAGAGCCCTCCCTCCCCTGTCCATATGATCCACCCCGATATCAGAAAGTGGTTCGGGCGCTTCGGCGAGCCGCAGTCACCAGTGCAGGAACAGTTTGTTTCAATGTTCAAGGGGGGCAGAAAGACTGCCCAGTGGCCTCGAGAGTACACATCATGTCATGGTTGAGAGGCATTCCCGTCGACAATTTTTGCCCACATATATGGGCTCAGGGGTCGCCCCATTACCGTGCCGTATGTGGGATGGAGATGGGGAAGTTGAGCAAGTTGGGGCCCTCACTTTTTCTTTGCCTTGTCAAAACCCGGTACTTACGCTTGCCCAGAGTAGGCTTGCATTTCGTATTTGTCTAAAATGTGGCGCTGTCTTCCTGGTGAGCCATGAAACAAATCAGGGGCTGTCACAGGGTTAGTAGGCATTTGAGATGGAACCTGGTTCAAAGAGGGAAAAAAGGATGGAGTTGAGGATCCACAGCAAGGTCTCTGTTGGAACAACTATCCGTACGGAGCAAGTGTATATCAGAGATTGGGGGGGATTCCTGCAGTCTTGGCAGACGGGCAGGAGTGTCTTGCTCGGAGCTTCTCCCGTGAGAAGAAGGACGTAAAAAGAAGACTTGTCGGCCAGAATCCGCAATGTTTCCGTCGCCTAGCGCGCGGGAAGAGCTCCCATTGGCCAGCACCCTGATTCCGTTTGTCTATCGAAGGGAGATGAACTGGGGCTCTTTGCGATGGAACCAACGCCCATTTAGATGAGACCCGTTACCACGGTCCTGCGTAATTCCCCGCCTCACGCACTGGCGTCGGAAGAGCTGCGGGCAGCAGCAGGACTCAGGAAAAAAAAGAAAAAAGAAAAGTGGCAATGGGACTAGGTACCGTCGGCTTTCGAGCTGGTTTCTCTTGTATTCTTGCGAGAGTTGGATACCGTAACCAAGGCATCGGTACATACTTGTCGCCATGTTCATTGTCTGAAAGATAACCTTGCAGTGCAGCCATGACTGAGACATTCTTGAATAAACTATCGAAGGTTTAGGGGAAATATGTCTACCGTGATTTGTAGTGGATCGCGTTCCCGCGAACTCTGATTTCCTCTGCCGCACAATGAGCGTCCCAGCTAATAATTGACCCCAGGTCCCAGGATGGCACTTTTAAGCCGTCGCAAGCCTGATATTATCTCATTCGAATCTCCTGCTGCTGGCGGCATTGTCAGTGCACGGCGCAGCCCATTCCCCCCTCTTGACCGCAAATCCTGCCCCCATGGATAAGTGCCCGCGACCCCTGTTCGAGCTTATTGACCTTAATCAGCTAGCCGGGGTACCATTGGAGCCGAAGAGGGAGGCAGAGAAAAGTCCCAGCGCAAATCGAGGCTGTGCGCCTGCGGCCAGGGGGGGCTGGCAGAGCACGTTGTCGCTGAGACAGCGCTCATCTGGACCCGATTCAACATGCCACTCACTGTCATGTTCAAGATCCGACACTCGGTGGATCCTGAATCAGTGGCCTTTTTTGCGCCAAGTCTAAATGGCAATCACCCCGAGACAGACCCCGCTGGACACAATGCGACGACGACTGCGAAAAAAAGTCCAAATGATATCCGATTCTAACAATATATCAATAACACGACTGCATTTAGAATTGCGGGCGGGATGCGACTGCAGCACCAACGGGTAGGCCCAAAAGAGGTTCTCAATGTCACTGTCGCCCTCGCTTTTTGGCCTGACCTTGTTGGACGAGGCTCCGATTCCCGTTGCATCGAGACATGGTTCAATAACGGATACCGGGCGTCGTGGCGGTGTGTGTTGTTTGCAAACCCGCTTGCTCGCCGAACTACCTGGCACCGCGGATAATGCGTGGTCTAGCCTAGGCGAAGATGGGAGCAAAGATCGGATGGCTCTCCTCAACATTGTCACCTTCATACTGAAATATTGACCCACGAGGGGGGGACGACAACAGATGAGCCCGCCAGGCTGGCAAGGGGGCGTGACCTGGCGAGATTCGGTTCTCTAGTCATGGACCTCATTCCACCAATGCGAAAGCGGCTCGAGTTTGTTGGATCATTGTTACGTGTGTATGTGTGTGCCCACGGTGATGGGTTGTGACGGGTGCCAAGAAAATTCTGGAAAGGAGTCGCCAAGACTTTTCAATATAGTGTGCCAAGACATTCTGGCACCCATCGATCGACACACTTTTGGGCTGCGCCCGACCGAGGTTCCCGGTCCAATCGAGACGATTCCATGGCAGAGAGTCTCGTTTTTCTCGACGAGACAACCAAAACTCCATGGCTTTCTTCGGCTTTTTGGGCGTTTCCTGACGGATTATGTTGTGTTTTGGTGATGCTCACATCCAACGGCCGAGTTTAAAGATTCATCGGCCTCCGTGCGGGACCGTTCCCGGAGGCCTCCTCACTATCCTCTGGAACCACAACCGGTGATAAAGGGGCCCCCGACTCGCCGCTCGCGCCGCTTATGGGGGTCGGAGGCGCCCGGCCACAGCCTGGCCAGAATATTAGTTGCGAGGGGGGCCCACGGGTGGATCATGTCCTTCCTTGAGTGAGAAGCCCGCACCGAGATTGCGCCCCAAAAGGGAGTACGGGGCACCAGCAACAAGTTGACAACAAGCGTCAGTCAGAAATTGCCAAAGTACCAAAGCCGGGCGCCGCTTTCTGGGCCAACAGACCCCCCTGGACTCTCGCGCTGACAGCAATCAACTTTGACCATCAAGGCTCGCAACCTGCCAGACTTTCGACCTCGAGCTTGGTTGGCTGCCCACGAGAGTTTGGGCGGGGGAACCTGGAGGTTGAGGTCACATTGAGATCAACGGTGTGTGTGAGTGGCACTCTCTTTCCCGCTTCTTTCTCTTGCTTCATACTATGCATTCCCGTGTCCAAACCCCACTTTAATGCAAAACACAAAGCTCCATGTTGGAGACTTTTCCCAGCTGCACCAGACAGACAAGCTGGGTGCCTCAGATAGTGCACCATTGCCTTTCCCCGTGTATCGAACAGAGGTTTGTCTTGCTCGCAGTCTATCTGTATTCTCCTTCTTCAGTTGAACGACATAGGCTAGCCCCTGATCTTCATTGTGAAGCTGCAGCAAGCGCCTTTACGCACTTTGGCTGCTGCCTCACCAACCACCTCTCAAGGCTCTATTGAGCAGGCTGCAAGATCTTAAGACAGGGATCTGTTGACTATAGGTCACTTATGCTATCTCTCGCTCCCGCCTGGGAACGCATCGTACAGATTGCCTTGCCGCATGTGGGCTGGGGTGTCGCGATTGCAACATTACGCCTGACCCTCTGGTACAGAGTCACACCCGCCAATACAACCAGTAGAGAATGCACCCCTTCTAGTCGGGGCGGATGCCGTCAGGGCGATCATTGTCTTCGGACGGATCTGTGGAGATTTCATGGGATAGCTTCCAAGCGCTGAGCTCGTATTACGGAGGCCAACCACGCGATGCCCTTCTAAAAGGCTTGAGGCCTGTTTGGGACGGATAGTTATTTCCATCTCCGCTTACCTAACAAATCTTCATCTCATCTTTAGACTTAGGAAGCATGAGGCCATTGATGATTATGTGACTGCGAAACGGCATAAAATTTGAATCAGGGCGCTGACTCGGGTTCTCCGGCATGCAGGAGATGGGTCTCTTTGGAATGAGTTTATACGCCGTGTGGCTTCCATCTCGTTACAACATTCAACTACACAGAAATAGCAAGGGGAGCGCTTTACTCATGAGGCGTCTGCGATTATTATTACAACTTAATCTGGCTGTTCGGAGATCAATCCCGCCCGTGATTCTCAATTTGCTTGCTTCGTTGCCCTGGGGGCACCATACCCATGGTGCCGAGACGAGAACCCTTGCCGAGGCCCGTATTACTCTGCGAATACATAGACAGCCCCAGTGCAATCCATGCTATGTTCAGATCCCACTGCCAAACAGACATTCCTGCACCGTAAAAAGGATGATGGCGAGAAGTCGGACAGTAATGCGGGTACGATTTCCTAGAGATCTATCGGGTTTACCCCTTTGTTGCTGCCCAGCCATCGTGGGCGTAGGCGCTGCTGTGGACAAGGCATTACAGAAGGTGCGGTCTATCAGTCCGATAGTCTAACTTGAAGCTTCGCCAAGATACTGATCCCAGGCGACCCATTACTGGAGCGGTCGTTCTCGCCAGTCTCCGACTCTCCACGAGCCCAGACGATGTCCACTCAAATGACAGATACCTCTACAACCTTGTTCGAAGGCGGGCGCTACGGTGCTGTAGATGGAGGAACCCGCCCGTTAATACATGCTCCTCCATCCAGGCGTTACCGCCGGACCGCTGCCGTGACAAGGGGATTTCAAGGTGCATATGCTTGCCCCTTCCACTAATATCCCTTCCTTGGCTGGATA